CGACATATTCTGTTACACCAAATACACAAAATAATGATCTTTAAAAAAGCATCATATGACCCCTTTAAGGTCATTCAATAATCTGCTTTATCAGTCTTGCTTCTAGATCAGGGATGGGCAACTGGCGGCCCGCAGTACCTTTTAGTACGGCCCGCTGGATCATATTAGACTCGGATGATCAATTTTAAAACATTTGAAAAGCAAGTCACGTAAAGATTGCTTTCAGTTTATGATGTTAATACTATCTCCAACCAGAAAAAGTCTAAATTATAAGAGGTCTTTGGGGACGGAAAGACAAGAATTGCTATATGGATTAATATGACGATTAAACGTCAAAAGGCTACGATTTCACTGAATAAACTTGAGCGCTGCAAGTCAGCTTTGTGTACTGCGGTTACCGGAGAAACCATTAACGTTATATGCGCAGTTTCGAAAGTGAAACCTGCTGGCAGAGAACGAATTTGCTTTTTCAGTAAGCCCATCTGCTATTTTTGCTACATATTTTTAAATGTGAACCAGTGGATCGACAAAAAGCTAATGCATTATAAAAATCTAAACAATTAAGACACTAAGATATATTTATATGTTATTTAATATAATAATTAATTTATAATAATTGTTTAAATTCATATAATAATTGATACTTTCTACTCATCCCTTTTCTTAAAAAAATAGTTTAAAGACTGAAATGTGAAGTGCAGATCTTAAAAAGGTCTTTAAACGTCTTAAATTTGATTTTAAAAATCCTGCAGATACCAGGTTATTTTATGGTACCATTTAGAATAACTTTTTTTTTTTTTTTAATTAAGCCCTTTTTAACTGTTCTTTTAGGTTGTTTTGAGAATGTTCTGTAGGCTACTAATAAAAAAAGGACCTCTGTATATTTGTTTGTTGCAAATTTACAGACAATGCAATTGAAATGTTTACATTGGCTTGTCGGGGGAATATTTCTGTCCACTGACAACAAAGTTTTCCTTCTGAATTAGCCTAACTGCACAAGTTTTATACTTAATAAAATCTTTAAAAACAAATGACATTAGTTATACTTTAATTTCCTTCAATAAAAAGGAAATTGAGTAAAATGGTGTAAAAGGTGTGTGGACGTGGATTAGTAATCTGGCCCCTTGGTATAAAGGAGAAAAAATGCTGGCCCTCATCACTATCAAAGTTGCCCATCCCTGTTCTAGATGTTTGCTTGAGCCTTTGAGAATGACAACAAGCTCTAATCTGAACAAACATGATCGCTTAACCAAATTTACCTCGGTATATGGTATGGCACAACAGCTTACAGACTTCCTTGTTAATATGAAATTAAAGGTGAAGTATAGGCTGAACAATTAATCGAATTTCTAATCGCGATTACAATTATGAATGCCACAATTACGTAATCGTTCAAAGCGCCAATTAATCGTTCAAAGTCCACTTATGTTATTCTGCGTGCTTAAGATGCATTTTTTTTTATTTCTACATGTTATCTTAAGGGTTTTTCCCATTATTTAAATTTTAGTTTTAGTATAACATTATAATACCATTCATATTTGTACTTTTTTATAATTTAAAGAAGAAACCAATCCGATGTATAGTTGACATTTGAGGCTTAATACTATAGAAAAGCACTAAAAGTTTTTCAGTTAGTGTTTTCAGCTTGTTTATTTTCATATAAAAATGTGGCATGCAGTTGCATCAAACAATGATATAAACATCATTCAATGTCAATTGTGATAATCATAATTAATAATAGCAATTACCATTTCAAGGGAATATTCGACAATTATGATTTTTGTCGTAATTGTGCAGCCCTAAGGTGAAGTGTGTACTTTCTGGGCCACTGGTGTCAACAAAAGAAATTGATGAAAAATTCAGTTCAAACTGCCATTGGCCAGTCCAGCACTAAACTCACACAATTGGTTGAGCCAGTGTTGCTGTTTCAGTCTGGTTGGGTTTGAAACTTGTAAAGGTCCAAAGTGTTTTAAACTTGATTTACAAAACTTGAATCATGTGTTTGACTTATCTTCTACAATCAAATTTTTTGTATATAGACTCTTAAAAGACAAATGACTGTTACATTTTTTCCTTGACAACCTACTTAACTATGTTAGTTTAGTGTCTCTCGCATCACTCTGCATTTTCTTCCTTTACACATAATCATTTATTAAAGGCATTTTTCAGTTAAGTAGCCTTATTATACATATAAAAAGAGGGGTAATGTTCAGTCAGCTGGTTAATATAGCAAAATAAACACAATGGTGTGATCAGGACCCTAACCCAAAGCGTAAGCCCCTTACTTAACATGCTTAGTTATGGAATACCACAGTGTTTGGTGTTGGCCCCTTACTAAAGCAGATTATGTGCAGTACAGAAAGTTAGTGTGATACTAAACTTTGTCACATCTGTTTTATTAGGATTTATTGTGCAGATGTTTTATTACTTATTATTGCTATCTTTGGAAGGGCCAAAACCTTGCTGAGGGTTTTTATTAGGATCAGAAGTGTTTGTTCCTATACAGTCTTTCTGAAAGACATTAAAGGACACTTTTTAATGTTCATGGACTGGCTCTGCCGCACCCTATCACTGATCTGGCTGATCTCTTCAAACTCTTGTCCTCTTATTAATGCCATTTCATCATGTGAAGCAAGTCTGCCTGTCATTCTTAGAGTAATATTAAAGACAGCAGGTGACTAGGCCTTTACTAATACAGCCCAGCTCTTATGGATTAGTCTATGAAGCCATGTAGAGGTCTCAAAGCATGCCTCAAACCACACACTTTCCTAATCTGCTTTCTCCAGTTTTTCTCTCTCTGTCCCATTCCCTTAAAACCCATTTAATTTCTCTAGACTTTACATTTTCTTTCCTTCATTTGCTGTGCAATGGATATATTTGCATTTAATTGTTTACAGTTTCCTTTTTTATTAGATCTTTGTGTGTCACAAAGTTTTATGTCACATTGTGGTGAAGTGCTCCTGAAATCCAAATAAATGTCAGCTCTAGGCCAAAGGCATTACTAGAAAGAGCAAGCATTGGTGCACTCTGTTCAGTGAGGAAGATCATAAAAGGACCATATGTTGCATTGCAAAAACATAATCTCATTCTTTGCTTCAACATGCTGTAGTGATTTTGGCCAAAGATAACCTTCAGGAGACATCTGTGTCTAATTGAGTCTTGTTGATGTCTCACCCTAGGTTTGCTAGCATTTGAGTGTTTGGCTGTAATCCCCTTATTTACCTGTTAATGTCTTTTTATCTCTCTGTCAAAGGTGTTTCTTTTATCGGCTTTCTGACAAGATGCGCGTTAAATATCGCATGCGATTAATCGTGCAGCCCTATTTCTGACTAAATATGTCGAAGTCTGACCAGTGACCATGTGGTTCAGCTGAGGAAATGAGAAGTTTTGTTTGTTGTTCAGACTGGACTTTCTTTTCATGTCTGGTCAAATATGGCTAAGGTCGGCCTGTAATAGATATTTGGCATACACATGTAAACTAGAATAACAGACAAGGATTATTTTTATGCTTTGCCTGGCTGTACATCACACACACCACTGGCTTTCCCAGCTCTGATTGAGGGTGGGAGTTCAGGTCTTGTGGAATGTACCACGTTGTAGTGCTTACGGAACATAGTAATGGTCATTCTGAGTGTGCAAGAGTATATTTTACTGTTTATCACAGCAAAAGCATTTGTGCTTCAGCATTGGTTTTGCTTTCCCTGTAATATCTAGAATTCTGTGTAATGCACTAATACACAATAATAGTACATAATAGTGATATTAATCTAATTATCTGCAGATGACTCCGGGGATGACTCACTAGAGTCCGACCTGGGGCTGGTAGGAAGTCATGCGTTTGCTCGTATGGAAGGGGATGTGGATAAGCAACGTAAACTCATCCTTCAGGGCCAAATGTCTGAGGCAGCCCAGCAGAAACAGCACCAAAGGAAGTAAGATGTGTAGTTTTCTCATACTCTTGCCTATTACAAGTACCACATTTCTTAACCAAGCCACTTACAAAAATGTACCATGATTGGGTGGTGTTTACTGGTGGTGTTTACTTTGTATTGGTCAAAAAAATACCAGAATATATAAATGGTACCTTATCTCTTCATATATATATATATATATATATATATGTATGTATGTATGCATATATATATATATATAAAGAGTGAAAAATTGAAGGGGGTCTGAATTCTTTCCGTACCCACTGTATAAGTGTGTGTATAATATATGATATGTAATATGTAACATATATAATATATGAAGAGATAAGGTACCATTTAATTTGTATTTAATACACTGACTGAATTATCTAAAACTTTGCATGAATTTCTAAATTGCTCAAATATAAGATTGGTTATACTGCCCACCCCTAGTAAGAAGTTTCAAAACCTTCCTGTTATTATGTTTTCATTTTTTTTTTTTTTTATGAGTCACCACGATTTTACAGTCCTTTGGTGAAACCTTGGTTATCATGGCAAATGTTTGAGACACTGGAAATTTAGCATAACCAATGGCATCTTTTGGCCATGATCTAATTCATAGTCATCATTACTGAGTGCAGATTTGTTTGATATACTGTAGAATTGTGTACTCTGAGTTTGTTTGCATGTATGTATGTATGTATCAAATTCTTTACATCACTGCAAATTGCTTAGAGGTGAAGTCTTAGTTCTTGTTGTCTTTCTTCACAGCTATAACCGCTGGCTTTGCAGAGCTCGAACAGAGGACCTTTCAGACATAGCAGCGTTAAAAGCACTATATCAGACCGGTCAGTCTTTGTCTTTATGGGTGTTTATGTATTTTAATTGTTTTATGTAAATTAATTGTATTTCAAATGTTTTAATTTTAAGGTTGTAAATTTAACATAATACTTTAGAACAATTAATTATTAAACTTATTTAATCAAGTTCTTTTCCAATCAGGTACTTTTAACAGTCTTAAAATGAAACACTCATGAATAATGTAATTAATTGGCATATCAATTAATTTTATTAAAATATTAAATCGTTTTGCAGCCCTAGTTCATGTATGTGGACTTTATTGTAGTAGTATGATATGGTCTGATGTTTGCCTCTTTTATCTCACACATGTTCTCCAGCACATGTTCACTCGTTCTCTTTGTGTTGCTGTCTCTCTGTATATCTTTATGCACATGTGGACTTTGTGTTCTCTCCATCTGTGTGTTTGCTCTCTGGGCAGGAAACCTTTGTTCCGCCTCATTGAGCTCAACATCAGGGGGTTCTGTAATCCATTTCTCTCGTTTCACAATCTCAGGACAAAAAATAACCACCAAAGTAACGGTTTCGGTGTTGTTAAGTATTTATCATCATCTTTTTTTGTTTCTTAACTCAGATACTGTCCAGGCTAATCTACTGAGTTCAAAACCTCAATGACATTTTACCACAGACTGTACACATTAGGTTTGCCAGAAGCTATTAGTCCTGCTAAATTTCATCTTGAATTTCTACTTTTAGTCATATTTCAGAAAGCCACAGAACAGTACTTTTCAAAAAAACGGAGTATCTGAATCACAATAACTCACTTGACCAAAGGGGGGCAGACTTTCTCCAGCTGTGCACCTCAACATGTAAATTCGCTATGCCACGTGATGATGGACTATATGAAGACATCTGGCTATGCACATGCAGATGTTTCTTATGATGTAGTGCAAAACATGTATTTTAATATGTATACATAACTAATTTCTGCATTAAACAGGGTGAGGCTGAAATTTCTAATGTGTTTCTTGAGATATGCTGCATGTGAGAATGCTGTCAGCAGTGGGTGTGAGGAAACATTCTTCCATAATATAGTCCTATCACAAAGCTTTTTTTTCCTCATTTTCAGGTGTCGATTTGTGTGGTAGGACGGTCATGGTTGTTGTTGGCAGGAATATTCCAGTTACACTTATTGATATGGAGAAGGTAAATGAGAAAATGTTCATACTTCCATTTGTCATGTTCTGTTAATGACAGTCCATTTTATTACAGTCCCATCTTATTTTGCACCAAATGTTACATACATTTTGTCAGATTTAGCACTAAATGCTGCCTAACCAAAACTTAAGGTTAACTCAATGGTTACATTTAGGTTAACCTAATTTTTAAAAGAATGTGTTTTAAAAGAATGTTGTTCTCAAGATTTCCATTTAGATGTAGACCTTTTAGATTTAGATTTACATTAAAAGTTCTATTTGAGATATGCATTTGAATCAGAAACTTTTGATTTGATGTCTTTTTCTTTTTAAAAGATTGAATTGATAAATATTTACTACACTATAAATGCAAATGTGAAAAATTAGACTGCACTGTTTAGAATGTTTATTTAATGGATTAGTTCACTCAAAACTAAAAATCCTGTCATTGTTTACTCACACTCATGTCAAACATGTGTGGGTTTCTTTCCTCTGTGGAGCACAAGAGAGAATTTGAAATGTCATGTAGGTGAGTAAATGATGACTGAATTTTAATTTTTGAGTGAACTATTACTTAAAGTAATAGTGTGTACCTGCCCTACTTAACCATACTTGGGAGACAAGTTTGTGCAGAGAAATAAAAAACTTAAATTAAAACTGACAAAATGTCCTCTTGAGCGTGTCCCCATTTGTTAAAAAACACACACACGATGTTAGAGTTAATTTAAGAATGTGGTTTTAGTGTTAAGTTATAGCATTTTAGCTGAATATGAAAACAATCAAAGACTATGAAATGTGCCTATTTAGATAACTAAGTAAATGTGTGTGTTTGTGTGTTAGGCTTTGCTGTATTTCATCCACGTGATGGACCATATCACGGTGAAGGAGTATGTGATGGTGTATTTCCACACACTCACCGGTGAACACAACCACCTGGACACCGACTTTCTCAAGAAGCTTTATGATATTGTGGATGCCAAGTAAGAGCTATTTCTGTTCCATTACAGAGATACTACAAACCACCCACATTCCCTGCTCTCTACGACCTTACAATGTTTTTGAGATGACTTGACCCAGTTCTTGGCGGAGGTATTCTTTAAAACCATAACTCAGACTCTCATGGAAAAGCTAATCACAGTTTCATATAAATGCTGGCTTGGTGACTATTCATTTTTATGACCTTCTTGTGCCAAACAGCACTGTCTCCTCAAACCCAAACACAGCACATATGTTGTAAAATCATAAGGGAATGTCTGTGTCTTCTTGGGCTTTCTGTTCTTCGAATGTCAAGAAGATTTATACACGTAAGCTTGACCCTTTTGTAGGTTATGACAAGCTCGGAAAGCACCGTTCAAAGAATCATGTTTCCTGTTTTACCTGGTGTTTCTCTAGAGTATCACTCTAAATTGGTGCTCAAATGTGTCTGAGGTGATTGATTCTTCTAAGGAAAGTGAAATAATATTGCTTTTTTCAGAGCACTTTGGGAAATTTTGAAGGGGGTTATCAAGGTTAGAACATTGAGGGCGATTGCAGTGGCTTTGACACCTTGTACATCTGAAGTCTCGATGTTCTCCTCTCACCCAACCAATTAAGAAAAACAGCAAACAACCACCACCATCACCACCAGAGGCTTACAAACGCTTGCATAGATATAGCTCCGTGGAATGGCATTGTAATTGCGTGTTAAGAAAAATATTGTTCTTTTAATCGAGCAGTCTTCATAATTGCTATTTTCCTGGCTTAGCAGAAGAGTTTGAGTCCTTGTTCGAAAGTCAAAACCGGGGGAGGTGATCGTGAGGTCAGGCATTCGTCATTTATTCAGGGGACACTCTCAGCATGCAGGCAGAGGAAACCACAGTCTTGAAATAAAAAGCAGAAACGCTCTCCAGCTCCAGTCCCTCACACTTTCCGCACATCGTGGAGATCAGCGTGACTCATAACTTTGAGAGCCAGGCCAGTTAGACTCGTGTCATTTATTATGAGGTATCAGCAGAGCACAGCATATCATCATTGTATTATTTATTCTCAAAAGGCATGGGTCTATAAGAAAGCGTTTTACAGACATAATCCTCAGCGAGAGTGATGAGGTTCTGTAATGGTTCTGTTAGCAATCACAGCCATGTTTATAGCAGAGTTAGCCAGTGACGCTATCACTCCCTATGACCCCTGCTCATGGGTTTGGACAGGACGGTCCAAGTCCATCGTGGGAAAGGGGAAAGGTTGACATACACGTCCCTTGCGCTTTTCGAACACCCCTCCACTTCTGGCTGTCCAGATCTCTATCCATCTGTGTGTTTTGGACAACAGCGTGTGGCTTGGACGTGGCTGCCCCGTTGGACTCGATTCACTGACTTTTGCTCGTTCTTAAAAAATGCGCTTTAGCTCCCTTTCTAATGGATTTATTGTTTTTGTTAAGGCAATAATCCTTTCAAAGCCAAGTTCACTATTTGTGTAATAAGTAATTGGTTGGATGTGGTGATAATGTTTCAAAAACCATTTCTCGCAAGGTTTTCCTTCTGTGTTTTCAGGTTTAAGAAAAACCTGAGGGCTTTCTACTTCGTTCACCCGACGTTCCGCTCCAAGGTAAATGTACTCAGTTCATCAACTCAGATGTAAGTCCATTAAAGGCAACACTAGATGTTCATCTCGTTTTGAGCTTTTCTTTCCGAGTTTGTACGGGCCTATGGTCTGATTCACAGCGGTCAGCTCCACATGTTCCACTTTGACTAAGAAAGACTGTGTATGAGTCTGTGTAACTGAATATGTTGAAAAGCGTCTCTGAGACCGCATTGATATTCATGATGTGTCTGCACTAAGTGTTCCATACTGTTCCACAGAACCTATTCAGGTAATTGAAGTGCTTATGAGAGCGTGTTGCCTCTGCCAGGCTTTGCTTTAATTTGCGAAATTATTCAACAGTTATGCTTTGTGCACTCCAAATGTAGAGGAACCCCGGCAATTAAGTGTCAGATAATTGTTCATTTTAAAATGCGTCCTTTTCAGCCAGAGAATGCTCGAGCATTGTAACAATCCCAGGTGTGAAACGTGTTCAAGCATTAGGGCTGAGTCATTGGAGTAAATGCTGAAAATGACTCCAGCAACAGCTTTAGGTGCTACGAGTTTGCCTTTAGCAACCAAACATTTAATTCAGTTACAGCTTCACCAATTTTGTAGCTATCTGTTATTTATTAAATTGACCTTAAAATGGTGTAGAAGTCTATGCTGTTTTCCTATAGAGTTACATTTGAGTTCATTTATAATGTGAGGTGAACAAATGATTATAAATTATATTTATAATGTCACAAAAGATTTATATTTTGAACAATTGTTTTTCTTCTCTAAACTTTCTATTCTTCAACGAATCAGTGAATACAGAATTCATCAAAGAATTATTAATGATATTTTTTATATAAAGCTCTCTCCCAACATTTTCAGACGTGTCCCAAACCCATGTATATACCTCTCATATAAGTTTGACAATGAACCTTTTCTGCTGGTTAAGCACAGCTTTTATTTGTTACCATTTGTTAAAAAAAAAATATATATATATATATTGTGTTTCAGCAACTATTCTTGTACCCTTTTCATGGAAAATAGCATCTCAGTCAATCAAATGCTTTTGTTTGTGATTCCTGTCAGGTCTCTACTTGGTTCTTCGTGACGTTCAGTGTATCAGGCCTTAAAGAGAAGGTCCATCACATAGAGAACCTACAGCAGCTCTTCACCTGCATCCTACCTGAGCAGATTGACATCCCTCCTTTTGTTCTGGAGTATGACACACGGGTGAGTATTCAGTGCTTTACCACAATACAATTGTCCATTGAGGATAAAGGATGTTACACTGTGTGTGTACACGTACACTTTTACAGAGAACCAGATACCCCTCTGTAACACAATCGCGCGTCAACAGTGGCACCTCATCCAGGGACCATGTTGCATCTTCTGGTTTTCAGATGGGTAAAGATAGTGTCACTGTCATTTCCGTTTGAGAAAATGCATGAAGCCTTCTTTATTTCTGTTTGTACTGTCTGCTTTTGCATTTCAAGCCAAGTCGGCTTTTAATTATTATTATTTACAACTACAGTTAAATTCTTGATTGCTTTTTTGCAGATTATAGACAAAACAGTTTTAGTATACAGTACTACTACATAAGAAATAGGAAAAATAATAATACAAATACAATAATCTGACACTGTCTGTAATGACTTTAACGTTTAGTTTAGGAAAGTTAAGATCAAACATGCAAAAGATTTTCTTAATCCTGAAGGTAATTGAAATGTACAGCTAGTGACCAATTTTAGAAGCAATTATATGCAAATTCTTTAAACTAGTTTCCCTGTATGACCTGTTCTTTAAATGCAGCCTTTAGCACAGATTTATTTTTGGTGAAGCCGGTATATAAAAATATTCACTTTTTTAGGCCTTAATGAGGTCCTTTTTTGTTTTGAAATGGATTGCATTTGGCTTGTGGAAAAGAGATTCTTAGAGACTTATTTTGAACTGTTGACCCAAAGTATGGGTGGAGGAAAGTCTTTCCCTTCAGACTGAAAGAGGCCTCAGCCGCGAGAAACTAAGCCATCTGCGTGCTGTGCTGCCGCTTGCTCCATCTCAAAGGAACACATCACATTTTATTTCTTAAGATTACTCTTCAGCTACTTATGTGGGATAGGGTGATATATTTAAGGAAACATAGAAACAAAAAAAAACAGTGAGTTGCTCTGGAATATGAGAAGAGAAAATGAGAAAATTATAGTTGTAGTCGTCTGGCATTGCAGAATCTCATATTACTATTATAATCATGTGTCATTTAACATGTTTTTCCTTCGAAGTGGAGAACATTGTTTTCAATTTTAAATTATGTTACCTTTGTTACCAGTGTTGAATCCAAGCAAACTGCTCAGATCCTAATAAACAGATTTGTCACAGCTAATAGCAGACCATATCCATGCATTGATTGGACCCATCTGGGCTGCACTCATTATTTAGTTGATTTTCATCCTGTCATTCCTGAGCTCTTAGTTTTGCACTGTTCTCACAGCATGCACATACACATGGCATTCATCTACAGCTTCATTCTAGGTGGTTGGTGTTACCCCTCGGTTAAAGATACAGGCTGGTTACCAATAAGGTTAGGTTCAAGTCCTACTAGGCATGGAATTGAGCTACCACCATGTGGGCATTGTTCTTGTTGTGATTTGGTGTCCACATTGATCTTGGATGATCTGATTGCAAGTGGGTCAAAAATGTTTTGTGGTCTGATTACTCAAACTACATTCAGAAATGCGCATGATCACATCACATATGTAGTGTAAATGCTAATCTTAAAGCGATAGTTCACTCAAAAATGAAAATTCTCTTATTAATTACCCACCCTCGTTCCAAACTCATAAGATCATTCATCTTCGGAACACAAATTAAGATATTTTTGTTGAAATCCATGAGCTTTCTGACCAAGCATACACAGCATCGCAACTAAGGAGTTCAAGGCCCACAAATGTAGTAAGGACATAATTAAAATAGTCCATGTGGCATCAGTGGTTCAACCGTAATTTTATGAAGCTACGAGAATACTTTATGTGCGCAAAGAAAGCAAAAAAATAACAATTTCTTCTCTTCAGTGTGAGACTTCGAGGCACGTTCACAAGAGTACCATGACGCATGTGTGTGCATTTTTTTGCTTGTAAACAAGGCGCAGCACATGCGTGTTCTACGTCAGAACGCCAGCTCTTATGTCAGCAGCACCACATGCATGCATCGTGGTACTGTTGTAAACGTGCGTCGAATACTGAAGAAGAAATTTATTTGAATAAAATCATTATTTTTGTTTTCTTTGTGCACAAAAAGTATTCTCATAGCTTCGTAACATTACGGTTGAACCACTGATGTCATATGGACTATTTTAACAATGTCCTTATTATGTTTCTGGGCCCGGAAAGTGGTAGTTGCTTTTCTGTCAATGCAGGTTCAGAAACCTCTTGGATTTCATCAAAAATATCTTAATTTGTGTTCCAAAGATGAACGAAGGTCTTACGGGTTTGGAACGACATGAGGGTGACTAATAGACCCTTCGCAAAAACCCACCCTCCTTAGCTACTGATGCTATGTCCGACAAGCTATGCCGCTCTCACACTGCACACATTGTTTTCACGCAGTAAAAAATACATCGCGGTGGAAAGAGGAAACTAACAACATGCTGACAGACAAGACAGAGCAGGTTACTTCTGGTATGAAACAAAGTCTCAACTTTCAAAGTTTGTCTTTTTTTATTATTTTTTAAAGAAATTCAAAAAATAAATACCATTTTGTGGCTCTTTGTGTCATGACAGATCACTGTAGTGCCTCAGTTCAAGCGGCAGACGTGAACCGATCGTCTTTTCATATTTACTTGAAATGAACATGAATAAACATCAGAACATATTTTATTTCAACCGCAGAACGACATCAATACACACCATTTTTCAAGTTTAAGTCCACCGAAGTTTATCTACTCTCCTGTCTGATTTGTTTGTTGGACAAAATGGTGGATTCTGCATTAGGATTGGTCTGATCGCCTGTTATAATGTTATCAAGATTTTTACATCAAAAAACATATTTTAGAAGTGATAGGCTATTTTCTGTCTTGTTTTAAACCCCCGTCATCAGAACACTCTGTTTGAATAGGCGTGGTGGATTGTAGACTCGAATGTAAACGCCCACTGCTATGATTGGCTAACACTTGTGTATGTTTGACAGCATATATTCCTCATAGATGGATGCTGCTGTGATAAATACTCAGTACATATCAAACGATCTGTAATAACAGACAAATCAATAGTGAACACGTAATAAAAGCAGTTACTCACACTTGTGTGTTGCGACGTTACTGTCGGAACCAATGTAGTCGGCACAGTATAGTCTTTTAGTTTGACTCTTTCTGAAAATCCCACTTCGAACTGTGCTTTGTTTGTAAAAGAATCTGTGGTAAAAATGAAGTGAACAAATGACCGGGAATTTTGACAAGGGAATTTTGATTTCTCAGTTCATGACCCCTTTAATGCCTCTAAGAGGCATTAAAGACAGCAAATAACTGCCTACTCACTTCTGTAATCTTCAACTCCACACCTTTAATTATTTTATTTAATTTCAGATTCGGCACACAGATCATTACACACTAAACTATGTGACCCTAAGAGTAGAGGTGCCGTCTAAAAACTAAATTATGTTCCTCACTGTATGGTCATATGTTTTTTCCCTTCTATATTTTAGATTTTGTTTTTGTCCTTCTGTTTTGTTCCTGGGTTTAAAGGGCACTGGATTAAAGTAAATGAAAGTGGGAAGGAAGGCACAAAGGTGAGGCAGCTATGAAGAATCGATCATGCCACTGAGTTAAATGGGTGGTCTTTCTCGCGCCAGGTGCATGGCGCCCTGTATTTGTGTTCGCTGAGCAAGAGTGCAGGCACACAGACTTAATTAGAACAAATTTTTTTTCCTGCAGGCTGTGTGTTTTTCATTTGCATGAAAAACATTTTGTACTTGTACTTTAGTATGTTAAAGCAAACAAAAAAGCAAGCTTTAATAGGTATGTCTGATTTTTGTTTATATCCCTGCGCTCTTCCTGTGTGAGTAAAGGCTGGAATACACTACATGACTTTTAAAATTTGAACAGATTTCAAAACACTTGGCATCATACTCACCGAATTTGCAATAGTCGCAGAGGAAAACTAGCCATTATACACTAAACGACTGAGGATCATACACTACCAAACTTTAAAGTTGTTCCAATCACAACAAACTCACACGGATATGTGCGCATTGTTGCTAGAATTGTTGCTAGAACTGTGACAAACATTGTGTTATAAAATAGGCTCAAAATATCAAGCATGTTTGTTATCCCTCCGACTGGAGGATCATAGTCTGAAGCTAAAATAATCAGAGTCTGTGACCATCATACTCTACACGATGTTCTGTGACATCTATCAACTCAAATCTGCAGACCGACTCTAATTTTCAGCAACTAGCGTCAACTTCTCCACACAGTAAATCGGCGGAAAGTCTGGGCTAAAATAGTGTAGTATATTCCAGCCTTAAATGTCGAAAATCAAACTTTAGATCAGATGGTCGTCTTCAGGGTGGGTTTGTACAGAAAAACATTTGTATCGTTAATCAAACTCAGGATCCCTCAGATATGTACACCAACAGGGAATATTCCACATGTTGCTTCTGTTGAAACCAAAAGCTTTAAAGTTTTACTTGACGACTCATTTGGACTCTTGTATTTTTATTAGTTCTGGAAACTGTGACATTGGAGACTTTGTAGAGATTCTTGTCTCTGGGGAACATTCATAGTCCTTTTATGAATGAATGTGTTTGTCACTTGAATGGATGAACCCATTTTCTCTTAACGTGTCTGACCTTATTTTTTGCTAGAATAGTGTGTGTTTTTGGTCTACTTGCCTTAGCCTTGGATTCACTCCTGGACTTCCTTGCTTAAGTATTTCCTGTCCTTCTTTTATTACCCAGGAAGTTAACGGGCAGGAGGGGAAATGGCAGAATGTGTAAGCTTTTAATGCCAATTGCACTCAGCATTCTCTCTTTGCCCATATGAACATATGCAGTGCCATGGAAAGTCTAGCCGCAGTCACCTCAAATAACCCAGTCAACTTTCCATAAAGCATTAAAAGGCCCCTAAAAGGGGATTTTTTTAATTTATTTTTTTACATTTTGGACTATCACCTCTATACTACAGGCGTTGTTGGGTAGTAATGGGCTACAGTATGTAATTTGGATTATGTAGTCAAAATACAAAGATCTTGTAATTGCATTATAAAATATTGTAAATAACTATATTACTGTTATTTTTGTATGGATATCAGGTTTGCATATAGATTATAATTAGGCAACAGCAATAAAAATAGTCCCTCATGTGTTGATAGGCTTAGAGGCTAAAATATGTTCAGTAGGCCTTCATATGAGTTCTGAAGAAAGCAGGAGCGGGAACACAAACGGACTTGTTCCCAGCCAACTTTGTTGTTGTGCTACATACATAGAGCTGTCTCGTTCCTCATTTGACCACATACAGAAATAACTTTCAACGAGACGTATTGAAAATGTGCAATGCAGTCCTTGCATTCCAAAACGTCTTAAATCCACCACAAGACTCCAGTTTCAACTACTAATGTTTAATGAAAGGATTTCAATTGGTATCTAAAACACTTATAATAAATTCCGGCATGATGAAATTTCATGCAAGGCTTTTTGTCTTAGAATATGTTTTTTTCTGTCAAATTAAAATGAGCTGAGATTTTTCTTGACTCAAAATAAATACAGAAATCTATACAAAAGTATAATATGAAAAATGACACAATTACAAAAGTACAAAACTGAGAGAAACCCTACACTGAGTGAAGCTGCGAAAGAAAACACAAAGCCCCAACCCTCTCTTCACTCAGCTAAAACCAACTCTACTTTGCACTTTTCTTTTGTTTGTTTTTAAAGTGCCCCTATTATGGATTTTTTGAAAATTACCTTTCATGCAGTGAGTAACTAAGTGAATGAAAACATCCTGCAAAGTTTTAAATCTGAAAGTGCACCTTGTATAAAGTTATTGTCTCTCAAAAGAAAGAGTCGACTCTGAATCATTGAAACAAGTCCTTTTTAAAAACGAATTCCAAGCCGTTTCATGTTGACGTCAACATGAAACATTAGCATATTACCCGCCCACTTGTTGGTCTTTTTGCTTTGGTATGAATGAAAATGCAAATTCATTCTTTGCCACTAGGTGCCGCTTTTGGAGCGGTAAAAATAGCAGTTTCCCCGGTAACGCTGTACACAAAGTAGCACTGTGCTCACAAACGCCGCTTTATCAGGCATTACAGGCACGATTAAATGAAAATGAGACCAATCAGACCAATCACCGCAGAATAACGTCACACAAAGGAGGGGTTTGGAAAACTGAATCGTTAAACGAAGTTTGGGAGTCATTGAGCAAGTAAGGTAAAAATAAATGCATATTTTAAGACATTTTTTGACCTTGCATACATGTCAACCTGTTGTTGGGGACTCCCAAAACCAAAATATGAACCTTTCATAACCCATAATAGGGGCACTTTAATGAATTTCCTGTGCTCTTTGAAACAGTTTACAGCATAATCTCTTTTTGCATTCATTTGACCCGAAGGCCTGTAACACCTCTGTTAGATTGACCTCACAGCTTCAGAAGGTGAATCATCTGCCATGCTGGGAGTCATACAGTAGCGTCTGAGCAGACACTCATTAATTCCCAGCAAATCTCTTTCCATAAGTGCTCATTTGGCTATTGGAATCCTCACATACTTCTGCGGTATATCCTAGAAACCACAACCTTTATTAAATACTGGAATAAATATTTACCTACTGAATATTTGTATTCTATGGTAAATACAACCTCTTGGGTTGATGTACAATGCAGCTAGATCTAAATCTATATTTATATTTGTGCCAACAGGCTCTCTAGGATGTAGGTGTGTCTTGGGCTTATATTGTGGTGACAGGGGCCTCTTGTCAATTTGCCTTCTGCGTTTTACAGCGAGTTGGTGCCTCTCAGCCAGTCTGTGAACAAATGTAACCTTTACTACTGTTTATCTTTATTCGACTGTACTTATGAATATCATCTCTGCTCTTCCAGGTTAACAGCCCCTATTACACGGCTCAGTCCTCAGGCCTGTGATGGTGTTAGATAAACCCAGAACCGAGGAAAGGACCTGCCTCTTTTCACCGGGCCGATACTCAACCCAATGACCCCAACTCTGATGTGAACAAGATGAACGCAGTCAAAAGTGCATCTTTGCCGTGACAGTGAGAGACTGTCAATCAATAATGCTGTATAAACACATCCTGCTGAAACCTGCTGAACGTGCCACAGACCTGTACCAAACCCAGATGTCACTGAAGGAACCGCCTGCCTGACCTAAGCTGTTTTTGAACAAGGTATGCGTGTGTGGTGTAGATGAAGAGACTGAATGTGAAACACATGTACCAGTGTCTGCGTGAATAATGGCTGGAAATAGCCAAAACCATTCTGGTTTTAATTTCTTATGTCCTTGGCCATCCAATCATCTGAAAGCCTCATATTTTCCTGCCTAAACTGTTTTGTTGTTTCATGTCATTCTGTGTCTGCAAAGTCACTAAAAGGAGCAGCGTTGTGCTTTTATCTTGATTCTCTTTTTTTCCCACCACAAGCACTTTTACAACTTTAACTGAGGTGTCAAACAACCATCACTACAGTTTCTTGAGGTTTGACAGGAAGCAGCTTTTCCTCGTGTGTGAGGAATGTGCTTTCACAAAGATTGGTTTGTGCAGCTCTAAAATCAGGTTGGCCTGTTGAGATTTCTATTAGCCTTTTAATAATAGTATTTTCTTCTGTTCCTTTAAATATGGTACATCAGTGTTCTGGAAGCTTCACCTGAGGTACCCTAAAATCTTGCAGTGCACCAGATTGTATTACATTTGAAGCAGATTTACAAGCATGGCCGAAGGAATGTCACAGACAGAGAGCTGATCTCAGAGTGAAGCACTGTAAATAGATACTATTTACTATTTGTAGTTACTGCAGATGCTGTCTGGTATTATTAATTGTTTTTTTGTCAGCCCTTAGTGTAGCTGTGCAGTGATTCTTGTTAAATTTCATACCATTTTAAATGAAGTATGACGTATTAATTATGAAAGTAATATTTGAATAAACAATATGAACATTCGATGTTATCATTAATCTTTGTTTGGGCGTCTTTATTGAATTATTTTGTTTAATTGTGTATAATCGAGTGTGTTTTCAGTTTGAAAGCCTTTTGAAATGGGTTTCGAATAAAAGCAGCCTTTTATTTTCTAATTATGTCTCAAGTGTTTTTTCTTTAAAGGGTTAGTTCACCCAAAAATAAAAATTCTGTCATTAATTACCCACCCTCGTGTTGTTCCAAACCCGTAAGACCTTTGTTCATCTTCGGAACACAATTTAAGATATTTTTGATGAAATCTGAAGGCTCTCCGACCCTCCCATAGACAACAAGGTAACTACCACATTCAAGGTCCAGAAAAGTACCAAGATGATCGACAAAGTAGTCCGTGTGACATCAGTGGTTCAATTGTAAAGTTACGAAGCTACGAGAATACTTTTTTTGCGCAAAGAAAACAAAAATAATGACTTTATTCCACATTTTCGTCTCTACTGTGTCACTTGTGGAAGCGCGTTCACGACAGTATCATGACGCGAGCGTGTGGCGGCGCTGACCCAGATCCGGCGTAATGACGTCATCACTATATATATTCATATTTTTGTTTTGAAGAAAAAAAAACTTGTCTTACTGCACTACATGATCGGTTCTAAATCCAAACGTATTCTCACACTTTAAGTCACTTACAGCCTCGAGTCTGTGTAAAATATATCTTACACCTTTCCATATAGCTGCAGCAATTCCTTTCCCAATCTCAAAACTCTGTTGAATTGAGTGGACAGCCTATTTCATGTCCATCCATATATTCTCAGTCGGACTGGTTCAACAGCACATGATATATTTCTGTCATGCTGTTTGTTTTTAATCTTTTAAGCAGCGCTGGTAAGGCAGCGGTCAGTCCAGTGTCTCTGAGGTGGCGCATGTGGGTGAGGAAAATGAATCCATCTTCAGCAGAGCTCACCATGTCTGAGGGGTCAGCAGAGCTGCACTGAACTGAAACACCTGGACAAGGTTGCTTTGGCATTACACTGTGAATCAGAGAGAGTATGACAACACCATCAGGAATCAGCAGGGGGATCTGGGAAATGGAGACATGACAATGTGCCTAATCATCACTGGCTGGTCTGTAGGCTTACGTGAGCTGTCCTTAAATAACCTTCCTGACATCAGTCACCATTTAATCAAATGCATTAATTACCCTATAAATTCATTCACTCTGGGTTCCAAGTGTTTTCCAATCATTTAGTTAGTTTGGACATGAGTCATGCACACAAAATATTAAAGGAATAGTTCACCTTGTAGTAATAGTGAGTATGAAGATTTTCACGTTTGCCTTCGAATTTAGAAGAATAGAAGAATTTTCACATTTAGCTGAACTATTCCTTTAAATGTAAATTATCATATCATGGTTCTTTATCACAATGTTACCGGACATATGACTTTATTTTTGCACTAACTAAAGCACTGTGATCCAGAGAGAAATATAGCCTACTGAAGCGATCCGGTTTAAGCAGTATGAAATGAAACGGACTGATTGGCCCTATAGGCAGCAGGAAGATTAATTGGGTGAATGAACATAAACGCTCGCTCTTCTTTTATCAGCGCTGGAACTGAATGGCATTGATTAGCGCAGACCATCTGTTTATTGTACTGCTCTGGTCTGTTACTGGCGAAGTTGGAGGGCAGGAGCGGGTCACTGTGCTGTGAATATCACTGCTCAGTCGGGGGCAGCAACACACTAACTACATTTCTGGGTTGTTGATTCATAATAGAATATTACATTGTTTATCTACACGGATCCATTTGTTGTAAAATTCTGACTGTAAATGTTTCTGGGAAATGATATAGTTCACGCACGAAATGTTTTGGCGCGAAGATGTTTATTTGAAATGCGAGAGCATGATGAGGGATGACATAAGCAAACAGTAAGTCATTTTTACTTACTGACATTTATACGGAATCTAACGTTGTAACTCCACAAAAGCGAGGCAAATGAAATAACAACTAATTTCCAAACCTCTGAGTTTTCTTTCCGTGCCTGCAGAATCGGGGACGAGTTCATAGATATAAATCAAATTTGAAAAATGAAATTAGGTTTTAAGTTTAGAAACTAGATCCGGACCGTATCTCATTGCATGTTGTCAGGGGTTCAATAGACTGAGATATGCAGGAAGTGGCTGCATGCAGAAATCTGTTGAGTATCTTATTAGTCCAGTTATGGTTAAAATGCCACTCACTGCAAATGATACCTTTAGCATCTTTTCTTTCTTTTTTTTTTTCTGCTTGCAACCACTCAGCTTTGTGTCAGTATTCTCAGTTTTTATCTTTTCATTTATTTTGACAATTTCATGAAAAAAAAACATTTTTATTGCAAAAATTATTAATATTGCAAATATTCAAAGTGATAAAATGGCATAAACACAGCATGTAGGAGTGACTAGGGTTAGCTGTCACACTTTTACTCCAGACAATATTTATTTTTAAGTTTATTTTTGAACATCAGTTTACACACACATCAAAGTCTTGATAGAAACTGAATTTTTCCACTGTTATTGCCAAGAAAAAAGATAAAGCATACACTGTAAAAAATGACCGTGAATTTAACGGTAAAAGACTGTAAAAATGCTACAGTAAAAACCTGTTAAATGGTTAACGGTAAATTCCCCTACTATATACGGTGAAAAACTGTATTCGACATTACATGTATTGGACATTAATTTTACGGTAGTATACCGTATTTGGAAGTGAAAAAGACCCGCTGCTGTCCTGTGGCTGCCGTCGCATCATCCAAGTGGATGCTGCACACTGGTGGTGGTTGAGGAGAGACCCCGCCCCCACATGATTGTAAAGCGCTTCGGGTGTACAACAATACACAGTAAAAGCGCTATATAAATGCATAATTCATTAATTCATTCATATTAAAATAAAACGAATTTAAAAATCCTAAACTATAATAACCTTGGTCTCCAGCAACATTTCCAGTTTTTGTTATTGTTCGAGGATTCTTTGATGAATAGAAAGATCCAAAGATCAGCATTTATCTGAAATAAAAAGCTTTTGCAACATTATACACTATTCCATTCAGTATAATTTCTATACATTTTTTGGAAAAGAAATTAGAAATTAATAATTTTAGTTAGGAAGGATGCTTAAAATTGATCAAAAGTGATGATAAAGGCATTTATAATGTTACAAAAGATTTCTATTTCAGATAAATAG